GCCGCCAGCCCCGCCGTTCCCCGGTACTGCAGAGCCGGGCGGGGCAGCGGGTCCTGTCGCGTCGCCTCGGTCCGCCGCTCCGCCGGGGTTGCGCTGAGCCTGACCGCGGGGGACTTTGCACTCCCGTTGGGGAGCGAGGGGAGGGGGGGGATCGGCCCTCCCGGCAGCCTGAGGGGGAGAGCTGCTCTGTCCAGCGCTAGGCCTCTTTTTTTTAAGGTTAAAAACCTAGAAAACCAACAAAAAGGTGGTTGTCTTTTGGGTTGTGTTGTTTGGTTTTTTTTTTTTTTTAATTTACAAAAATAAAACAAATCTGCAGCAAAGTCACTTTCCTCTGTCTTTCAGGTCTCTCCGTTATTTAGTAACATAGAAAAAATGCTAACAATTGCCCTGATTCTGTTAGAGGAAATACGGGGCTCTCGTTCTCCAGATGGACGTACCAAGTGCGTACATGGTTGGGGTGTACTTGTTGATAGTGAATTGATCCACAGGAGCAATGGACTTGATCATAACTTGATGTATGAATTAAAATGTTGCTTGTTCAAGCAAAGTAGAGACAATAGACTTAAGGAGTCATCTTCTCTGGAATTGGAATAGAATCTAGTTGCTGTTAAATCGCATTGTTGTAAAAATATTAGATGTACTAATAGGCTGTCTTCTCAGTGCCCTCTTCTGTCATTTAAAAGTATAAAGGAAAGCTTTTTTTGGGAATGTGATATGAAAAGTAATTTCTGTTCTGTAGAATGGTCTCTGTTGGTTGCTTACTCATACTGCTCTGTTAGAGCAGCCTTGGGACAGCCTACTAGCTTAACTGAAGAGTTTAAATTGTATTGAGAGCGAGTGAATCTGTTTTATTCTTCATTTGTGAAAGGTACACATGGCTGTCTAATTTACAGTAAATTCATCATGGGAACAAAGAGTTTACAAATAGGATATAGTTAGAGCTGGGAGAGTGGATTTTTCTTCAATCATCAACTTACTGGAATAATTAAAAGCAAAGATATAAGAGAAAACGTGAGTTTGCATCTTGGAGAATTTAGACTATGCAGACAGAATTCCAACAAAAAACACTCTGTGGGGAAGGTTTGACTTTGTGTATGTGCCTGATAGAAGGCTAGCAAGGAGAGGGGAAAAAAAAAAAAACACCCAAGGAGATACTTCTGGTCAATACTGGTCAGTATTGATCTCTTCATTTGTGGTGTGACTTTGGTTTTGTTCCTGCGCTAAGGGGTTGGTAGCACTCTGGTACTCAAGATCAGTGTACCAGAACTGCTATTTCTCTGGTAGTCAAAGGGCTTTCTGTTGTCATTGTTTCAGCAAATTAGCGTCTTGCTGGAATGTCAGTCTAGGTCCTGTAAGTTTTCTTTTGCGAATAGCTCTGCTCTTCTAGTTTAAAGAGAAGAACAGGTCTTTTTTTTTTTTTTTCTCAGATTTTCAAATGCAAGGTTTTGATCTCTCCCCTTTCTTGCATTCCTTCATCAATGTGGAAATTGGCGTTATTTAGTTGCCGTAAAAATTCACAGTGGTCTGTCACTGAAACAGCAATTGTACTCTCCTGTTCCAACTGTAGGAGAGTCCTAATCCCTGGAGTGTTAGAGGTTGGCATAATGTGAGTGATATGATAATTAGTAAGAATTCATCAGTCTTAGTTATGTGTAAATGCATATTTACAGACTAATAACACTTTGTAGGTTTCTCTGAGAAATATTTTGATGGATTCCTGCAACTCAGCCACAGATAGAGAATGTGTTGGCGCTGAAAAGTTGCTGTTTTTCTGGTAGTGTACCTGTGAGAAATGTAAATAACCCTGAATGCTGGCTTAGGAGGAGAATGAGCCATCAAGTAAGAGAGTGCACACCTTTAAAAGCTGTGGAAAGAACAGAGGAAGATGGACCCTGTTTAACTAAACTGATACATATTTTTAGGGAGCTGTGCTCTTCAGTAAAGCTGTTGTTTACATGTTTTCTGTAAACACAGAGTGATGCTATTGTGAAGCACATGGTGCACTCGGTTCCTTAACAGAGAAGCATATGCTGAAGTGTTGGCTCAGCTAGAGCCAACTTGCTAAAATTGAGGTTAGGCTGGAGGATCTGTGGTGTTTACCTGGCACTAGTGCAAGTCTCTTCCAGCACCTGGAACTTTCACTGAGATGTGCAGCACCGAAGAGGCATGGCAGCCTGAGTTTTCCTAAAGGCTTTGAAATGCGCAAAATGCATGGCCACATCTAGATAAGCACATTTTTGACGTGCTGCTGGGTCTGCATAGTGTGTTAAAAACCAAAACCCGTTAAATCCTTCTGGAGTGATTTGTAATAACTGAGGAAAAGGTCTTGAAGAGTGGGAAGCAAATGTTCTCACCGTGAGCAGTAGAGTGAATGAAAACCTTTTAGCAGAAGCCTTTGATTCCCAGTGCCACTTTACAGCTCTGTAGCTTTTCCATTGTATATATCTATTTATATCCATCTTCTTACCACATATATGGCAAGGTAGGAGGGAGGGTTATGGGGGTGACTGAAAGGTGGCTCAGGTCTGCTGGAGGGAATGTGGAGCAGGTGACACGGGCATTCGCGGCTGCGTGACTCGGGAGATGCACTGCGCTGCCCTGCACGCGTTGAGGGACTGTAGTTCTTTTCTCCTTCCTGTTCTGTAGGGAAGTTTGTGCTCGAATTAATTGGGTTTTTTTTGTGTGTTTTTTTTCTCCCGCATGTTTTACATATTTCTCTTACCTGGACAAACACCAACAAAAGATGCTTACCACAAGTTAGTATTGTATAATTTTTGTGGTGTTGCCAGGCATGTGCTTTTTATTTTTATTTTTTGTGGTGTGAGACCACCTCCCAAATAGTCCTGAAATTACCATCCACATGGGGTAGGGAAGTGTTTGCATCCCCAGCCTGCAATTAAAGACACTGAGTTATCAGAAGATAACTTGCTTACCCAGCTTCCTCTGTCTGTGACACTGCCACTGCTGCTGTTTCTTAGAGCTAGTCAGGTTGGAAAGGGTGAGGGAAATGAGGAAATCATTGTGATTTCCTAGTAGTTGTCTTGCATGTGCGACTGCCATTCAAAATTGAAGATGGAATGAGTATTTTCTTGGTTCATATATTCTGTCTTCAGTTTTGTAACTTCTTTTTTGGAAACGCAGATATTCTTTTTCTTGTGTGATGCACGTGCATGGGTCTACATAGGTCAAAACACTTTGTGAGGATACTGTGCCTCGCATTGGTCTGATACCCGTTAGTTCTAGTTTGTGTCGCTCTGGTGTTGCTTGCTGTGCTTTTATTGGTTCTTCCAATTGTCATTAAAAGCTATATGAGTGTTTGTGGAAGACATGTATAAGAATTTCTTTAAAAAGTAGCTTTATTGTAGAATTTCTAGGTGTTCAGAATAGGTTCTGCAATGTGAACCATAAGGTTTTCCAACTTTGAAAGGCTTTATTAATGTAATATACTCCTAATAACCTACCTGTGCAGAAAGCTTTATTATGCTTTATTTGGGGAGGGAGATAAGGGAGGATGATGAAAGTGTGTCATAAAAATAGTGTTTCAGAAAACCAATGAGAAACATATCTTAAAAATAAATGAAAATCCAAGAGTAAGTTACTGTTTTCTGTTTCTTGTCAGGTGGTAGTAATGTAAAGCCATTGGATGGTGTGAAAATTCTTGATTTAACAAGGTTTGTGTTTTGCCTATAATTTGGAACAGTCTGTCTAGATGCAAATATTCTGATAGGAAAAACTAAGAAAGCAATCTTTTTTAATATTACAGGGTGCTTGCAGGGCCCTTTGCCACAATGAATTTAGGAGATCTAGGTGCTGAAGTTATCAAAGTGGAAAGACCAGGTAAGATTTTTATTTGGCTGTTTTAGATGTAGAAAGAATGTGCAGTAGTTTAACAAATAGTTACTTATGTATTTTAAGTAATACATGACTAAGAATGCAAGATTAAAAAGTTTTGGAAATATTTAGAAAGACAATACTATGTTTATTTGGTGATGGTGTGTTTTTGGTGACAGAGTGTGTATGGTATTGTGCTAAGAAATAGTGAATTTTGTAGCTATTTGTATTTTTTTTTTTTTTTTGAGCGATCAGTTTTCAAGTTTTGGGAGCACTTTACATCCTCGTGCTATTTCTGTTGTGGTGGAGAACTAGTTAGTAGTAGGTTTGCTTATACATGTATGATCCGTTTGCTCTAAGTTTAATGCTGTGCTCCGTGTATGTGTGTTTTGATCAGAGGTAGTCTGTGTCTGTATTTAGAAAAGAGTGTGACAAGGTTGAAGTTGTAAGGTCAGGTAACTCTTTCAGATATTAATGTGGAAAGCAGAACTGAGTTGTCACTTACAAAAATGCCTTGTTCCATCACTCAAAACTAAATTGATTTTGTTTGAATTGTTTGGTCTTCTCTTAGGTTTTAAATTGGGCTTGTGAATGGTTAGGTGTATGGTGTTTTTTGTCAAGTGGTGAAAGGATTAAGCCAGGGGTTTAAGTGTAGTACTGTACATGCAAAATTTGACAAACATGCAAATTCTTCCAGCAACTAGTTACATAAGGATTATGGAGAAGGTGATGTTCTCATTTGGGAATTCGGAATCTTCAGCTCAGTTCCCTTTGAGTCAAAATGTCTTAGAAAGTTTTGTGTAGGAGTACATCTTAATTACTCAAGATTAGAATACTGATAAAATGACAGGCACTTCAGTTTTGGAAATGGAAACTCTACCTTTTATTTTCATTTTTAATATTATAAGGAAGAAAGGTAATATGAACATTTAAAATATATATGTTGTTTGTTAGCACTGCTTTTGTGTAATATTATACAGATCTAGTGGGGATGGTAAGCATTTGACTGGTAGGGTATAAGGTGATTTGGCATACTGTGTCAGCTTTCTCCTGAGAAAAATTTTAATATTCCATTATGGTTTCAGGTTGTTAATTAAAAATTACCTTGTCAGAGAAAACTTGCTTTGGAATTGTGCAAAGTGAGCAAAAGTTATGTTTTGTATTAGGTAGTCAACTTTTTAAAGTCCAGGATCTGGTATTCCTGTATCAGTGGAGATGGGAGTTCATTGGAAAAGGGAGATTTCTGAATTACATGAAAATCTTTATGCTGGTGCTGAAAATGTCTGAGGTTAATGAACTTGAAGTGGGTGTTTTCAGATGAAGTGGGTGTTTTCAGATGCAGAAACTTGTGTAGCTCCTTCTGAGTGTGATTGGGCTCTGGATAATTAGCTTCATAATTTTATTTTATTTTATTTTTTTGTATTTAGGTTAACACAATGTTTTTTTTCCACTCGGCACAGGCACTTCTTATACAAAGAGTTGTTGAGGATTGGGTAATGGTAAAAAATGCTTCATTAGTATGGCATAGCTACACTTTTTAGTTTTTAAGATCATACAAGAAAAATAACAAATTGCATGGTGTTTGGACTCTCTTTTAGAAATATTCCTTGCTTTTGGTTTCATGCATCATTACGCATTTGAGGCAAGTAATTATACCACTGCAGCTGCACATTATGTCATGTATTTTCTCCTTCTTTAAGTTTCTGCGTTTTTAGTTTCTCTATTTTGATATTAGTAGTTTTGAAAAGAGCTGTTGAAGATAATTACACACTTGAGATACTAAAATATGTTATGTTCCCTATATTTTATTTTAAATAGGAAATATTGATTATTTGAACGCTTAAGAAAACATTCAGTGTCTAACAAAAGTTTTGTCACATCATCCTATGGGTCATCCTTAATCACTCGCTGTTGTTTCAAGTGTTTCCACTTTTGTGAGAGGGCAGAAGCTGCATCAATTTTGTGCTGTTAGATGAGACTGACAGTGGTATTACTCAAAGTGTCTAGGTAATAGGAATGAAGCAATATCAGCGATTAAGTATGAAATAACCGTTTTGGAGATTTGCATTCCAGCTCTGAGTTTTGCTTGGTGATCAAAGGAGAAGGGCAGCCTGAGAATTCTGAATTTTGGACTCTTTAGAATGTGATAAATTGGCTCTTTCTGTGAGAGGATGCCTGCTTTCCCAGGAGTATGAATCCATAAAGGATACTAGCCACAGTAGTGTCCTACATGGAGAGTATTACTGAAATGCTTTGTTTGAATGTCTTGAAGTGGTAACATAGTGGCATGAAGTGGTAACAGAAGAGAGATTCCTCCTCCCAGCCCCCCCCAAGCTTCCTGCTTGAAGCAAAATAGTTCTTTGAGATACTAAACAGTACGAATGTTGACGAGTAATTTATGTGTTTATATAACTTCTGCCACAGTTGGTCTTAAAAGGCTGTAGACTTTGTGTTTCTATAGTGTATAGCATAATTATGACAGTGGCTGTATTGTGTAAGACCAAAGGTCCTTCAGCTTCTTTCTGTACCTGTGCTAGTACCAAAGGGTCTTCTGTGTTGCCTCACTAAGGAAAGTTTTCACTCACGTGAAGTTACTAAGTAGATGAAGTCTAGATATTGAAACAGGAATTGTAGGAAATAAGCATGCTTGCTGGTGCTCAGGATGATGATTATATCTGAATTTAAATTTAGCTTTAATGCTAATTAAATTAGATTGCCAGTCTTAGTTTTAATTCTCATTAAAATAGATTGCCAGTCTTCGTGACATTTAAGAAAGGTTTAAAATTGGAAATTAAGCATAAATGATACAGGGACATTGGTGTCTGCAGCAGCTTTAGTGCCATCTTGCTTTTCTGTAAGGCATGAGCATTTCTGGAGGGGCTGGAAGTGGGGAATTGCACCAACTATAGCAAGTGCTTTGTTGGTGTTCTGCAGCATGCAGTGAACAAGTTGTTGCTGGTCAGTGGTATCTTGATGCTGTCCAGAGTGTTTCTGGAATAGCTTATTGACCATGTGCACTGTGTGACTTGGTGCAGTGCAAGAGCTTCTACTAAATCCTTCCAGATTGCCTAAAAGAATGGCATTGTAGCTCTGCTTTAAATTAAAAAATAAACCACCTCGCCCCCAAAAAAACAGCCCACAAACAAAAACAATCAAAAAAAACCCCAAATACATTGGTGGTGTGTGGCTGTATATTTATATTGTAAAACCTATAAGTAATCCCAACACTAGCAAACGCTGTGTTCAGTTTGCTTAATCACATTCACTTTTAGGTGTTTTTTTGGCATAAATATCCTAAAATATGTATATGAAACTAATTTTTGTCCTGCCTTCTAGGTGAAGCTTAGGGCGTTTAAATAAAGAAAAACTTTTTATTATTTTTGTTTATTGTAAGTATAATATTGGACAACTATGAAAATATGATGCTATTTCTTTCAGGAGCTGGTGATGATACAAGAGCCTGGGGCCCACCTTTTGCTGGAACAGAAAGTGTTTATTTTCTCAGTGTTAACAGAAATAAAAAGGTAAATGAAGTGCTCTATTGAACATTAGCCTATGTTTTCTGTAATTACAACTGAAGATGTAACACTTCTCCCTTGTTTGATTTTTAACGTAGCAATAGTTACATTGGCCTTAAGATATGATGAACAAATTTTAGGAGAGAAACAAAGATTTCTTTTGAACAAAAAAGGCTGCAGACCTCTGGTATGGTGCTATGGTCAGCTGAGGCAAATTCAAAAAGCAAGAGTGATCCTTCCAGTCCTCGGTTGCTGGTGCAAATTGACTGCAAATGAGCCCTGCTGAAAGTAAGGGTTATTTTATTTGAAGGAGCATTTTTTCCAGGTGCATCAACTCAGCTGGCAGCTGGAGCTGGAGGAGGGGCAGGCATCATACCACAGTTAGGTTGGCTAAAGGTAGCTTGTAAAACTTCAGGATGAAGTTTCATGACGTGCCTTGAGCTGTGTAATGGCTTGTTGCGGTTGAGACAAATGTTTCTGGTGTCCCTGTGTGTACTTGCAGTAGTAGGTGCCGTGCAAACATACAGTGAGGAGGCTGCAGGGCAGCTCCCAGCTGCACATCTGTCAGACTGCTTTTGGCGCTTGTCTGATCCACTGGCGAGACAGTTCAGCTTGCTTTACCAAGAGAAATTTTTTTTGCAGGGGAAGGTGGAGTGTGTGTTTAAAATTTACTTACTTGATTTAGCTGTAGTGTGAAACTTGACTGTTGGTTATGTGTAGAAGAGGCTGATAATCACCAGAAGGGCTTTCACATAAATTAGTGTTGTACTTTTTTTTGTCCCCAGAGTATAGCTATCAACATGAAGGATTTGAAAGGAGCAAAGCTAATCAGAGAGGTAGGTCTTGATAGCATGCAAACTGTGCCTATTTTGTATTGTTTTGATCCTGAGTAATAAAGAACAAAGTCTGCATTTCAAGTATTAATTTGATATCAGATAATTAAAAATACGTATGTGTGGAGTAAATTTTTTAAATTACAGTATATAGCCTCTGTGCTTCTGCACTCAACACTCAGTGTAATTTCTAATGATTTTAAATATAAAAGTTATATGAAAATGACATAAAAAGCTTTAAGTGAAATATTGTGAGGAAAAGGTCTAACAGCCTAGTGCATTCCTCTTACTGTATTCAATCTTGCTGTGCTACTTCATTAGAAAGATTGATCTGATGAAGTCAGTGAGCAGTTTACAAAGAGGAGATAATGGGTGTTTGAATGTTACAGTGTATTCATGACTTTAGTTGCTGTGCACCTTGCTGAGAAACACTGTCCGGTAAATCAAATTTAGTATTTGTTTCTTTTTTTGAGTATTTGAGTTCAGAGTGTAAGGGTGTTTTAAGGGCGATCCATTTTTCTGTTGGTAAAATTATTAAAAGTGTCGTATTTCACATTCTGTAAAACTTGTGCTTCGTCATCCCTTTTTTATTTATTTGGCTGTGGTTTTATCCCTGCAGTACTAACACGTGGAAGAAGGTGAGCTGGCTTCTCTTACTGCTTCTTTCAATATCAGTTCTAATCACTTTTGTTTTCACAGTGAGACTGTATGTGTCCTGCAATAAGTGGAATTTGTCTGGCAGTATTTTTTGTTGGGAATATTGCGTGAAATGGAAATAGATTAAGTTGTCTAATACTTTCAACCTGTTCTTCCCTGTCAGCTACGTAAAAGACACTTCATCTGGAAATCTTTAGAGTTTATAAGCCAAGGATTCTGCAGTGCCTTTTCTCTTTGCAGAACAGAACCATTTATTGTTAATTTGTTATGAAGCCGTATGTTTATCTTCTAAAGGTTTTGGAAACACACACTGTCATTTTGAGTAATTTTGCGTGGTATAACACAGATATGTTTTGGATAAACTAGTTGCATTCTAAATAAGGGATAAAAAATTGTTCCTCTCATAAGAAGACTAGCTTGTTATTTGACCTTTAAAAATGATGAAATAAAACTACTCTATGCAAAATGTTCACTGATTCCATGTGTGTGGGCTGGACCTGTTTGAAGAGTTAAAAGCAGATGTGCCTGTGAGTCAGGATGAGCTGGAGAAAAGATGGCTTCAGTGTCAGCTTACTATGTAACTGCCACTGTTTGTGGTTAGGAAGTTCCCCTTTTCTCATCTTGATGCTTGTGCAGGAAGATTACTGCTTGATTCTGTTTTTAAGCGTATAACTTTCTGCCTGCAATATGGAGAACCTTTTTATGGTCTGTGGAGTTGAATGGCTGCTGACTTAAGAATTTGCAATATAGTCTTTGTGCCGGAGGCTCAGGTGACTGGTTGAGTTCAAATCCCAAGTGGTTTTTAAATCAGTGTAACATCTTTCTTCTCCCTCATTTGTTGTGCAAGAGCAGCATCCTCTGTCAGCTCAGTGCTGGGCTTCCCACTCTTTTCCTCCTGGTAAGATCTCTTGTACCACTGTAATGTAGAGCTATCATGATGCTGAAGATAGGATAGCTGCAGCTACAGACAAATGATTCCTGCCAGCAGCAATGCTAATTTTTCCCTTAGCTTGATGTCATTGAAATAGCCAAGCATGTATGAGAATTATTTCCTAAGATGTGATATGGAATTTCTAGTGGGAAAACTATATCTGTTAAATGTTTACCACACTAGCTGTGGAAATGAAATGTCCTGTCACATAGGTCTTTCCCTTGTGAAGATAAAGCTATGATGAGAAACCCAACTCATGGAAAAACTAGAAAGCAACCGCGAGATTTGCAGAACTGACCTAAAAATGAAGACAGTCAGTCTTGCTGCCAAGTCATTTCTTATAGCTTCTATTCTTTCTTAAAGTTGCTTTCATAACCACTACAGCTTTGTGTTCCTTAAATCAATGGCATACCTATCTGTGATATAGCAATGTTATGGACTGAAGCGATGAGACATTATTAAAATGTGACTCTACTTGGAGGAGTTGTTCATAGTTCTGCTTGATTTAGTGATACGTTTTGAAAGTATTGGGTGCAGACCTCTTGACATTCCATTACAACATCTCAGATGGAACCAGAATATAACTAATTCTGTTTGGAGTTTTGTCAAAAAAGAATGTGTAAAGGAAAGTTATCTGTAGTGGACTTCTTGTTGTCAGTTCTTTCTTGGTAACATCAGGACAGATGTGTATGGAATTGAGCATTGTTCAACAATGTATTTGTTACTATGAAATGTAGTGTTCATGTCTGTAAAGTAATTGGTGGCAAGAAGAAATTCAAGTTTGTGGCACTGGTTACTCACACACTGAGATGAATTGTGTCCTGAGCCTAAGCCTTACAAAGAAATGTAAAAAGGTTATAATTTTTTTATTAAGAAAGGTAGCATGGTTAGCATAAATTTTATTCCTACCTTTGTAAATTCCATATAGGTAGAAGGCAGCAGATCTCAGAATCTAGAAGCATATTAAAAATCAGGAGTCCCGACTGCTTTTCTTCCTTTGGCACAGCACTACAAAATACTTGTCCAAGGGTCTGCTCTTTCTTAATTGCATGATTACATGATTCCCACAAAATTATTCTTTGGTTGTCTTTTTTATGTTTCTTTATTCTGTGTCACTTGTAGCCCTGTCTTCCTTTCTGAGGCTTTTGGCTCGCTGTTAACTGCCTTCCAAATATTTGTATGTTACCCTGAATGAAAATTATTTTCTCTTCAGTGATCGTATGTGCACCAGTCCTGTGCTCTGACATCCTTTTGTTGTAAAATGGCTCAAAATCTCTGCAGAGTACTATTTGGCAGTTATTGTCAGAAGCTCATCTCAGGAACCTTGAGGATACCTATCTCCCGAGTATTTAGGCTTGACTAATTAACTCTTCTATTTATCCCTGGAGAACTTTGGGGAATTCAATCGGGTGGGAGCTCATGGCACTCCAATTACCCTTAGCAGATAGGTCAACATGTCTCATACATGTTCTCACTTGATAAAGCAAACTATTCATACATACATGTATAAATATGCATGTGTATGTGTATATCTATATCTATGTTTATATATGTGTGTATGCACACTCTCCTCTGTGTGAAGGTTCTGTAGAAAAACAAAATAACCCCCTCAGAACAAAAAAACCCCACCCAAATAAAACTTACAAAAGATACGAATAGCTTGCTTTATCAAGTTAGTAGCATTGTTATTTGTTATTTTTCTTCAGTGTAATGACTACTTTGGCATGCATGATAGCTTTTTTTCCTTGCCTGAGTCATATCGGTGTCCTGTCTGGAATATATAGTGTTTCAACTTGGGTCTGTGTTGTATTGCTCTGTTAGTAGAGGTTAAAATACAAGTGATACATGTTCAGAGGACTTGTAGGACATGAAGTGTGAAATTTCAGTTGACAGTGGACTTAAAACTCCATTGAAATTGAAAATCCCTCTGAGTTTTAAGAACATAGAGTTTGTTTGGATCAAAGTCTGAGGCTAGTTCTCCATAGCTACAGAACCCTGGGTACCTACGCTTGGTTCAGTGAGCATCAGAAAAAAGAAGTACCGTACACAGACTGCTGTCTTTATGCATTGCAGACTATTTCCAAGTGTCGTGAAAACTTTAGCATGAGAGCTGACACAACACTCGTAGGACTTCTTGAAAATTCGTGTTCATTTCTCTCTGAGAATGTACCCACTGCTAAACTGGGCCCAAGTCGTTGTATTGCCACTTAGCACTGTTGTCATCCCGTGTGTGTTGCGAAGTCCAGAGGTATGGTGCTTTATATGTTACAGTACTGTATGTCATGCTTTTTTCTCAGTGGCTGTAGGAGATGATAGTTCTTTAGTATGAGGTGGACAACAGCTCTTAAACCATTTTTAGCCCATACAGTCACTGTAAATTAGATAGATGATAAAACCCCAGTGAAAGCAATTTACAAGTTGTAACTGATTTCCTCTCTTGAATGAATGAAGCTAAGGCTGTAGTATTACCAGTTTGAAAAGTGTTTGTGTATGAACTGTGAAGGATTTAAAGAAAAGATAAAAACCCCTTATTTTTTGTAAAGGTGTACTATTAAAGAACAAAGAGCTTGCCTCTGTTGTGTTCCCCTTGCCTTACTTTGATGGCTAGATCTGCTGTCCTGCACAGATGATTGGGACAGCTGTAGATCTGTCTGAGCTACTTCCGTTTTTACTAGCAAATGCTTTAGCTCTGTGAAAATCTGGACCTTCTTGACAACCTTCTTGTGAGAAATGTCTTTTTTTTTTTTTAATAGCTTAAATAAATTTATGTTCTGTTCACTGCTATGGAATCACAAGTTAACAAACCAGCTAGCTGTTCACATTGAAACCCAACAATGCTTATTTAGAATCTGGAGACTGTTTCTCATTTTACTATAGTCCTAGAAGTTCTTGACGCGGCCACTTTAAAAATACTTAATAACATATTATTAAATGCACCTTCACTGTATACTGAACTTAGTTTCTGTAAATGTTACTGATGTGTCTTCCGTGTGTCCAGTTAAACTATTCGTAAGTTGTGTGCCACCTTGTCTGAATAAGAATCAGTTTGTCTTTCCTGTTAAATAGTTGCTGCCTTGGCAGCTTCTTTTGCCTTAAATTCAGATGCACAGCCCACATGCTAGAACAAAAATGCTTGTGATTGCTGTTATGATGACACTAGTTGATGGAAGCTGGTCTAATATACTGTATATATTAATCAAACAGCTATATCGTAGTTTCAGATAACGTGACTCTCTGATCAGCTGCAAATAGCGTCAAGAAACTAAACGTTTTATGTTATGCCTAAAAATGTATGCACAAACATGTGTGACTGTCAGGGAACAGTTTCTTAAGTTCTGGGGCAGGGTGGGGAACAATTAAACAAAAAAACTCTACAACTGCCCTAAGGCATACTTCTTTCTTTTAACATGTTCTCTTGCTTTGGGAGTTCTTAATTAGTATTAGTCCTATTGAAACACGTATATGTATATCTATTTTTAACTTTTATAGGGAAAAAGAAGATGTAATTTAACACCCATCAAGGTTAAATTTTAATCTTTAACTTCAGTAGATGTTTGGACTAGGTCATTAATTTAGATATGGTGGAGAAAATCATATTGCAGAGCTTGACAGCACTGTTCTAACTGAGGTGACTTTAAGGTGTTCGTTTTAACCTGATACAATTTTTGGACTCCCTATTCTGCTTCTGCGTACAGGAAATGAGATGTATGGCCTCTGCTACAGTAATTGTAACCTATGATTTTAAAATGAAAAACAATTTATAAAATTTTTTCCAAGGTAGAGAAAACATGAAGGGTAAAGATGTATTCTTTCTCCTCCCTTTTTCTTAAGCTAAGTACTGGTATAAAGGTGATGGTGGTTCTGTAAACTGTCATGAAGTCTTGGGGAACGGATGTTATACTGATAATGAAATTATAATTTTGTCTAATTGCTTTAGGAATTTGACAGTCTTTTTTTCTAGATGCACAGTATCTCTAATGTGTAGTTTGCAGAGATGCACAGTCTAACAGGCCAAAAAATATCTCTCTAGGTTTGTATGTTTTCTTTTTGTCAGAAAGACTTGAGCCATTTTGATCAATGATATTGTTAAATTAGTTTACATAAGGAATTTATTGAACTTTTGGAAGCTTATTAACAAATCTTACTTATCCTTTTCTTTTCTAAAGCTTGCAGCAGTGTCTGATGTTTTTGTGGAAAACTACATCCCTGGGAAACTGGCTGAAATGGGTCTAGGTTACGAAGACATTAAAAAGATTGCTCCTCACATAGTGTACTGTTCGATAACAGGTATTTTAATTTCAATTACTTGTGTTCATTATTTTGTTTATTAGAGTCCACTTGTTATAAAATCATGTGGTTACATAGAAGTAAACTATTTTGATGTCAGTTGAGATAAATTGAAAGGCAGTGAGTTTGTTCAATTCCAAAACAGTTATAGAAAAATTGGGAGGCAGGAACCATGTCAACAGCTTCTAAGTTGTTCAACAGTGGCATTACCATGCCAGCCTGGAATGTTCCTATTGACTTCAGAGGAGCCAGGATTGGCTGGGCTCCTTGCATTTTGCTTTGAACTGATTGATAACTGGGATCTTTTTTCCAGCAGTGTTACTGTATCAGTTTACATATTGCAGGTTTCCAATCTGGTAACATCAGTATTCTTTACTGCCCTGAAGCATCTCTCTCTTCAGAATTATGTGGGTGTATATCCAGAGAAGTTTTACATTACTTTTCTACAGTGTATTGCCTGGCAACTGAAATGGTGGAAGAGTTGTAAGTACTTTATAAGTGCTGAGAAGAATGAAAAGAAAGTAGACATACGAGTATCAGGAACTGCATACATGTAAAAATAATTTAAAGTCTGAAAAATCACTTGTTAAAAAAACCAAAACAAAACAGAAACAAAAAACCTAACAAAACCTAAAAAACCCCAAAACCCACAAAAACCACCCCCAAAAAATCTTGATCAGGCACTAAAACTGAAGGATCTCTAGACTTTACAAATATTTTTAGACTGGTTTAAAATCTTAGTTACAAACCTGTTATGCCTTTGAATTTCTGAAGAATAAATGCCTTTGGCTTTTTAGTTACTGGGTATTGCTGTCATTTAATAGGAACCAAGTAGCTTTTTGTCAGTTGTGATGTATTTATCATGTCTGTATGGCAAATGTCTGAAGAAGACGAGCAGAAAGGCAATTATATTCAGGTCTTGCTGAGATCCCTTTGTTTAAATACATTTTTAGGTTGGTCAGTCGCTAGTTACCACAATGTTTTGCATATTTGCTTATGCATGTAATCTCACAACTGGAATTTGTCAAGTGGCTTTTCCTTTTTTTTGTTTGATTGCTGTACTTGTAATTGATGAAAAAGAATAAAAAATTATACCCAAGCTACAATTTATGTGAGGTAGCTTGGCCTTTGATTTGGTAAATGCATTTTTCTATTCACGCTACATGTCACCTTTTGAGTGCTTTTGTATTTTACTCATAATAGACAAAAACCTTACTTGAAGTGGGAGCCTAAGGAGTGATAATATTTAATTTCACAGAATTATTTAGGTGGAAAGGACCTCTTGATACGATCTAGTCCAACATCTCTGCTCAAGCAGGGTCTGCTGTAGCAGGTTTCCCAGGACTCTGTCCAGCTAGATTTTGAGTATTTCCACAGCTGCTCTGGATAGCCTGTTCCAGTGTCTGACCACCCTCACTGTAAAAAAGTGTTTTGCTATATTTAGGAAAATTTGCCCATTGCTTCTTGCCCTGTCAGTGGGTGCTACTGAGGAGAGTCTGCCCCCCTCTTGCTCATTCCCTCCCACTGAGTATTTATATACATTGCTAAGATTCGCCTGAGCTTTCTCTTGTTTAGGCTGAAGAGTCTCGCCTGTCTTGCCATCTCATGTGTCAGATGCTTCAGTCTCTGAATCATCTTTGTGGCTCTGTGCTGGACTTACTTCAGTATGTCCGTATCTGTCTTGAACTGGGCACTGTACTCCAGATGTAGCCTCACCAGTGCTGATTAGAGGGGAGGGGTCCTCTCCCGCAGACTGCTGATGACACTCTTCCTAATGCATCGTAAAATACTGTTGGCCTCCTTTGCTGCAAGGCTGGATGCTTTACTATGTCCTGTTTAAGTGCTGCCTAACTTCTTCCACTGAGGGTAAGTCTTCCTTGCTGCAGACTTTCCCTCTAGTCTCAGGGACCTAGGACTCCTGAGGGCTGTCTTTCCTGGTAAATACTGAGACAAAGAAGGCATTAAATCCCTCTGCTTTCTCCAGGTGCTTTGTCACTGGTTTCCCTGGCCCATTCTGCAGTAGGTCCATGTCTTCCATAGTTGTCTTTCTGCTGCTGACTTTCTTTCAGAATCCTTTCTTGTTGCTCTTCGCATCATTTGCCAAATTCAACTCCAGGTCACCCTTGGCTTTGCTAACCATATACTTGCGTGATCAAACAGCAGCTCTATACTCCTTCTAGGTCACTTGCCTCTGCTTCCACCTCTTGCACACTTTCGTCGTACTGTCAAAACAAGTTGGCCAGAGATAGCACAATTTTGCTCTTTAAAGCTTTGTGTGATACGCAGTTTACAATTGTGTTATACGTAATGAAAAACACACAAATGTTAAAAAATATATGAATACATAACTAAAGATATTTTTTTTCCATTCATGGACTTTGTTCATTTGAGGTTGAAAGTGTTCAGGAGGTAAGAGCTAAGCGATGTTTGTCAGACACCCGTAAAACAGCTTGGGATCTTAAATTATGGTTGCTCAAGTCTTGTATACTCAGCAGGTGACAAGGAACATCTATATATGTGTACATATTTGATGTATCTTCTAGGAGTAAAGACATAAAATCTCTAGTACCCTTGAAGAAAAAAAAACAGAAAACAATGAAGTCAAGGTAGGAAATAGCAAAGATTTAATCTAAGTATGTTAAAAAAAAGGCAACCAGACTGGGACCAAATGTATGTCTGTCACAGAAAGGGCATGATGGTGATACTTAGGCAGTAAGTTTTTTGGCACAATTGAGCAGAAAACTGATTTAAGAAGAAAGAATTCATGTTTGATTTCTAAAAGCTCTGTGGCCGGATTCTAGATATTACAATTCAAAACCATTTTGGTGGTTGACTTTACTGCGTTCAAATATACTTTTTTTTTGTGAGGGAGGATGGGAGGAGACTAGAAGAGGTTTGATGTAGTTATGTTTAGCTTAAACTTAAAAAAAAAAAAAAAACATCCCAAATCAGTGAAAAGAACATCAAGTTGTTAAAATTCTTGCTGAGAAAAATTGCTTAGATTAGCAGCTCAGATGAAAACATGAATGCCTATGGAAAGAAGCCAAGAGAACTCTTTTTTTTGTTTTGTTTTTGCATCATAAATAAGGCTAGACAAACAGTAAAGGAGGTTGACAAAAGTGTTAAAACATCTTCATGGCAGCTAAGTTATGTACGCTACTATTTATTATGGGGAAGGTTAGGGAGTTTCCATACTTGAGACATTTTCTGTAAGGGATCAGTCTGAGAAACTTTATTAATCTGAATATCCAGTATAAAAGGCTTTTAGAACAAATTGGTAAATGAATGTTTAAACCACCTGTAGCAGTATATCTGAGCAAGGTGACCTTTTGGTTTGATCCTGTGTTAAGACATGTCATAACTTTGCCAGTGAAAATGTGCATACACACAAAATTTACTGAAAATGTCGAGTTGTTCATGTAAACATAAGAATTAATTAACTTTCCTTTTCTCAAGCAAACAGTGGATCTAATTGGCAGTCCTTTGCCTTTGCAAGGCACATCTCACCCATGTTGCTTGCTATTCATGGTGTTAAAGTGCTTTGCTTTTTCTTCTGGGTTCTTGAATGTGGAGGCCTATTAAAAATAGCGGGGCTCTGGGCACAGTAATTTGTCTGTAAGCAGTCTTGGATGTTTTAACACTGGGCATTGCAATGCTTGACCTGAAGTACAGGCTTATGTATGTTGAGGCATCAGAGTTGGATGGCTGGTTTTGTGAGAGACTGGTGCAGAAAGCAGGTAACTGCATTCTGAAAGGCCAGCAAGAAGGGCTCTGTTCCCTTGACAGGAGCTATGCTTATGACACTGTAAGAGAAGGATTGGTGTTGAAGTGGAATGAACTGAGACACGCTGACTATAGTAGTTTCCTGAGAGTTCAGATATAATATTTCAGATAGAGACTGAGAACACAATCTAAGGTTATTTGGTAATGCCATAGAAAGTTATGTGTATATAAAATGCTTAGCTAGGGATATGGAAAATATGAATTAAGGAAGATCCAAAGAGAAGTATTGTTTGTCAGATGTAAAAGATGTGCTGGCCTAGAACAGTAGATTAAATGGACTAGTTGTCTTCCCAAATGTTGAAAATTGTTGAGACGAATCATCTTGGTCACAGTAACCCCCTTTACATCTAAACAGTGGGATTTCATCCATCATTTGGCATCTCACAGGGCTCTATAAGAGCTAATAGAAAGATGTTAGTTCTCAAGCCCTTTCTGGTTTGAGAGTCCTGTGAAGGATAACGGATACACAATATAACATGAATTATGTTCTGAGGTCTTTGAATAGATGATTGGTTTATGCTGTTTAACTCAGCCAGTTTTGAATATACTTTTTTAAGGGTGTGTTTTATGTATCGTAACTATTGTTACAGACAAAATTATGCTGGTCATTGTTAATGACTGTTATGAACTGTATGACATTTTAGATGTGAGAATATGTAGACACAGACGTTTTGGCGTAACATTTGCTAATAATCAAGAAATAAACATGTACAGTGTGTGAGAATTGGAGTGTTTTTCCAACTTTGGTGTTCTTGTTGGTCAGTACACATGTTGAAGACATTATAGCCGATTCATTTAATAAATTACAAATAATTACTGGATACTACTTCCCTTATCCATTTAGTTAATTCATTAATGAGACTGGATATCATCTGGAATGTTTTGGTTTCTTGTTTTTGAAACAATATTATTGAAAGAATTGTTTTCACCCTACAGCATAATTTGTGTAGCAGCGTGATCAAGATGTCTGTAAGTTTCTTGGGTTTTTTTGTCATCTCATGCAGTTATCAAATGCAAGTACAAATAAATCAAATTGGATATTAAAACTATTTTAGTTTTAGGGGTCATCCAAAAATATGGTAAGTAATTTTCTGATTCTAAACTGTACTGTATCCTTCCCTTGTATTACTCAAGAGAGAGTGTGCTCAAATTGTTGTCATTCTTATCAGTGTTATCATGATTGTTGCACTTTGGAGGAGTTGTGCTTTCACTTTTTA